ATCTTCACCATTTTTAGGTGTACAGTTTAGTGACATTAAGTACATTGATATTGCTGTACAATTATCACCACCATCCGTCTCCCATCAGGTCCACAGCTTTTCTTTCTTAAAACGAAAGTTTTATTATTGATTCAATCTTCTATTTATTTGTGGTTTAATCTTGGTGAATTTTCTGTTTCTAGGAACTTTTCCATTTCATCTAGGTTATCGAATTTGTTGGTGTACAATTGTTCATAGTACTCTTATCCTGTTTCTCTAGAATTTGTAGTAATGTTCCCACTTAGATTTCTCATTTTAGCAATTTGAGACTTCTTCCTTCGTTTCTTAGTCTTTCTATCTGAAGTCAATTCTGTTAATCTTTTTGAAGAACCAACTTTTAGTTTTGTTAATCTTCTCTTTTTCCGGTTTTTATTTCTCTCTGCTTTAGTCTTTATTATTTCCTTCCTTCTACTAGCTTTAGGTTTAGTTTGTTCTTCTTTTTCTAATTCCTTACTTTGCAAAGTTAGGTTGTTAATTTGAGATTTATTTTTTTAATATAAACATTATAGTAATTTCTCCCTTAGCACTGCTTTCACTGTGTCCCTTATGTTTTGGTATTTTGTGTTTTTTTCATTTGTCTCTAAGTATTTTGCAACTTCTTTTATAATTTCATCTTTATTCCATTGGTTAAGAAGATGTTAATTTCCATAAATTTGTGAATTTTTCCATTTTTCTTTTGTTACTGGTATCTAACTTCCTGTCTTTGTGGCTGGAGAAGATACTTTAACATCTTTTAAAGTCTACTGGTGGAAGATGAGTCAGATGAGACAAAACAAACAAACAAACAAAAAAACGGAAAGTCTTTTGAAATTTAGCTTATGGCCTAATATATGGTCTGTCCTGGGAGATGTTCCATATGCACTTGAGAAAAAACAGGTGTTCTGTTGTTGGGTAGACTGTTCTGTATATGTCTGATTCAATTGGTTTATTCTGTGGTCCAAGTCCTCTATTTTCCTTATCTTCGGTGTGGTTGTTCTATTTATTATTGAGAGTGGGATATTGAAATCTCCAACCATCACTGTAGAGCTGTATCTCCATTCAATATTATTAGTTTGGGCTTCATATATTTTGATAGTTTATTAGATGCATAGATGTTTATTACATCTACTTGCTGTTTTGAACATTAATATATAATGTCTTGTCTCTTGCAACCTTTTTTGACTTAAAGTCTGTTTTGTCTGATATTATGTAGCCACTTCTATTCTCTTTAGGTTACTATTTGTGTGGAATATCCATTTTTATCCTTTCACTTTCAACCTATTTGTGTCTTTGGATCTAAAGCAAGTGTCTCGTGGACAGCATTTAGTTGGATCATGGTTTTTATCTACACCCATTTTGCTAGTCTGTCTTTTGATTGAATTATTTAGTCCATTACATTTAATTACTGATAAGACTGCTGTCATTTTGCTGTTTTCTATATGTCTTATAGCTATATGCCTTTGCAATATTCATATAACCTCATGGGAGAGGCCAGACATATATAAGCGATGAAGACAATTTCATTACCTTTGTGTTTTTTTCTTCAAAGACTGTCATGAAGTGGAATTTTTCATATAATGCTGGTTTTGGAGGCCAAGACCAGCATTTTAAAAAATTTTAAGTTCAGGGATACATGTACAGGTTTGTTACCTAGGTAAGCTTGTGTCACAGGGGTTTGTTGTACAAATTATTAAATCACCGAGGTATTAAGCCTAGTACCCACTGGTTATTCTTCCTGATCCTCTCTCTCCTCCCACTTTCCACCCTCTGGTAGGCGCCAGTACATGTTGTTCCCCCTATGCGTTCATTGAGCCCTCACTTATGAGAACATGAGGTATTTGGTTTCCTGTTCCTGTGTTAGCTAAGGATACCGGCCTCCACTTCCATCCATGTTCCTGCAAATTTTTGTTTTTTTTTTTTTAATGGCTGCATAGTATTTATCATGTATATGTGCCACATTTTCTTCATCCAGTCTGCCATTGATGGTCATTTAGGTTGATTCCACATCTTTGCTATTGTGAACAGTGCTGCAATGAACATATGTGTGCATGTGGGTTTATGACAGAATGATCTATATTCCTCTGGATATATACCCAGTAATGGGATTGCTGGGTCAAATCGTATTTCTGTTTTTAGTTATTTGAGAAATTGTCACACTATCATCCTCAGTGACTGAACCATTTTACATTCTCACCAAGAGTGTATAAGCATTCCTTTTTTCTCCACAACTTCGCCAGCATCTGTTATTTTTTGACTAATAGCAGCCATTCTTACTGGTGTGATGTGGTATCTGTGATTTTGATCTACCTTTCTCTAATGATCAGTGATGTTAAGCTTTTTTTTCATATGATTGTTGGCTGCATGTATGTCTTCTTTTGAAAAGCATCTGTTCATGACTTTTGCCCACTTTTTAATGTTTTTTTTCTTATAAATTTAAGTTCCTTATAGATAGATGCTGGGTATTAGACCTTTGTCAGATGCATAGTTTGCAAAAATTTTCTCCCATTCTGTAGGCTGGCTGTTCACTCTGTTGGTAGTTTCCTTTGCTGTGCAGAAGCTCTTTAATTAGATCTTGTTTGTCAAATTTTGCTTTTGTTACAATTGCTCTTGGTTTATTCATCATGACATCTCTGCCTATTTCTATGTCCAGAATAGTATTGCCTAGGTTGCCTTTCAGAGTCTTTACAGTTTTGGGTTTTACATTTAAGTCTTTTATCCATCTTAATTTTTGTATATTGTATAAGGAAGGGGACCAGTTTCTGCTTTCTGCATATGGTTAGCCAGTTATCCCAGCACTATTTATTATATAGGCAATCCTTCCCCCATTGCTTATTTTTGTCAGGTTTGTTAAATATTAGATAGTTGGAGGTGGTGTGGCATTATTTCTGGGTTACCTATTCTGTTCAATTGAAGACTAGCATTTATGTGTTCATCTTTGTTATCACACACACAAAACTGTACTTTATTTTTATTTTTTTGAGACAGAGTCTTGCTCTGCTGCCCAGGCTGGCATGCAGCAGTGTGATCTCAGCTCACTGCAACCTCCACCTCCGGGGTTCAACCGATTCTTGTGCCTCAGCCTCCCCAGTAGCTGGGACTATAGGCATGCACCATCACAACTGGCTAATTTTTGTATTTTTAGGAGAGACAGGATTTCACCATGTTGCCCAGGCTGGTCTGGAACTCCTGGCCTCAAGTGATCCACCTGCCTTAGCCTCCCAAAGTGCTGGGATTACAGGTATGAGCCACTGTGCCTGGCCTAAAATCTTGTATTTTAATGAATCATAATTGTATTTTGCTGCCTCTACTAAAAACAGTTGAATCCCATAAACTAATTATTACAGCAATTAATCAGACCAGTGAAAAATCTCTCATTTATTCCTCCTACACACCAATGCCCTCCACCCTTTTTTGTTTGTTTTTTTTTTTTTTGAGAGACAGTCTCTTGCTTTGTTGTCCAGGCTGAAGTACAGTGTTGCAATCACGGCTCACTGCAGCCTCAACCTTCCAGGCTGAAGCAATCCTCCCACCTCAGCCTCCAAAGTAGCTAGGATGACAGGCACGTGCCACCACACCTGGCTGATTATTTAAAAATTCTTTGTAGGAATGGGTTCTCACTATGTTGCCCAGACTGGTCTTGAACTTCTGGGCTCAAGTGATCCTTCCACCTCAGCTTCCTAAAGTGTTGGGATTACAGGCATGAGCCACCAAACTCGGCTACCAATACTCTTTCTATTCCCAGTGAGGCATGTTATTGTTCTCAAGCCAAATTTTTTGTTTGTTTGTTTGCAATCTGTATACCTTTTTTTTTCTTGCTCTACTGCATGAGGTAGGATCACCTATACGATACTGACATGGGGAAGTGTGGAGATTAGACAACCTTGGCTTAGCCCTTATCTTATGATGAAGGCATTCACAGACATTATTATTATTAGTTTTATAGAGACAGGGTTTCGCCATGTTGCCCAGGCTGGTTACGAACTCCTGGGCTCAAACAATCCATCTGCCTCAGCCTCCCAAAGTGATGGGATTACAGGTGTGAGTCACTGCAACCGGCCCTAATTCTTTTTTCTTTCTTTGTCATCCAGGGTTCAGTGGTAAGATCACAGCTTACTGCAGCCTTGACCTCCCAGACTCAAGTGATGCTCTCACCTGCGCCTCCTGTGCATAGCTGGGGCTACAGGCATGTGCCACCATGCCTGGCTAATTTTGTCTTTAGAGACAGGACCTTACCATGTTGCCCAGGCTTGTCTCGAACTCCTGGGCTCAAGAGATCCTCATACCTCTGCCTCCTAAAGTGCTGGGATTACAGACATGAGCCACCATTCCCAGCCCACAGACTGTTTTTCATTCTGCCTGCCTGGAATGCCTGTCAATAAATTTACAGAAAAAGTATCTACCCTCTAAAAGTTATTTCATGCAAGTTTTTTCAATCTCCAAACAATGTGATTTCATACTCTAGTATCTATGGTAATTATTTTTTGCTCTTGTTTTACCCACCCCCACCTTTTTTTTTTTTTTTTTTTTTTGAGACAGATCCTCTCTGTGTCGCCCAGCTCACTATAACCTCCGCCTCCCAGGTTCAAGCAATTCTCCTGCCTCAGCCTCCCGAGTAGCTGGGATTACAGGCGTGCACCACCATGCCTGGTTAATTTTTATATTTTTAGTAGAGATGGGGTTTCACCATGTTGGCCAGGCTGGCCTAAAACTCCTGGCCTCAAGTGATCTGCCCACCAAGGCCTCCCAAAGCGCTGGGATTACAGATGTTAGCCACTGCACCTGGCCTACCCACTCCCACCTTCTATTTCCCCTAAGCATAAGCTACTTGAGGGTATCAGCCATATTTCCTCTTGCATGTCCTGTAGGGTTTAGTGTGCAGAAAGTGCTGAGAAAATATTCACTAAACTGAAAGGACCCAACTGACTGGCTATGCTGTAAGCAAAAATACTTTCATGTTTCTGAAACTTAACAAATCAAACGTATTAGTGGAAGAGTAAATTAATTTTATTGACTGATGAAAAACTAAAGTGATAAGAAGTATGGATAGTAAACAATAACCACTGAATTCTGCTGGAATTCTCTATTTCTTCTTTTTCACTTTAAGCCAAAAGAAATAAAATTATAGACCATTAGTGAGCTAGTTGCTTTTAGTTCCTTCAACAAAAACTGCATAGTTTAGCAGTTGCACGGCATTAAATATATACAATTTTGCAAAATCCTGAAAGTTTTAAACTTTGTGTTGACTTCAAAGGCTAATTTAATCACCTACACTGGTCGGATTCAGAGTTTCTTTTCCCTTTTCTGCCACCCTGTAAAAAAAAAAAAAAATAGGGCAAATTATTTACGACATACCATTTTGGGGCCACTTCATTTTAAAAATATAGACCAAAGGCATCTTGGGGTACGAGAAGGAAGCAATTTCTTTTTTGATTTTGTTGTAAATTTGAGTCTACATACCGCTACATTATTTTAATATAGTTATTTTTTATAAATGGTTAAAGTCGGTTTTAGAAAAGTTACTTCTATTTGAATAAGAGTTGTGCCTTAGTAAGGTCACCGATATTTTATTTTTTTAGAACTCATTTTGACTATTCCAGAATTAAAGTTTTTGATCAATACTAAAATAAATGATACACTTAATTTGTTCCATATGATCAGTAAATTTAGTAATTCAGTTCATTACCTTTTGGGTAATTCAATTTATAGTTCAAGTTCTGTTGAGTTTTGCTCATATTAGCATTAGAAATTTGATTGTGTTCATTAGTGGATTGAAATCTAGGTTATGGTTTTCATATTGCTCAGTTGCATATATAAATTTATATTTAATTTGCTCCATATGAAACATCACTTATGGTATCTGACTTGAGCCAAGGAAAAGGAAAGGCAGCATAAAGGACAAGAAGAGTTTTACATAAATATTTTAACATAACATAAACATAGTATTTTCTGTTTTATTCTGATTTAAAAAGCAAATGCTCATTGTAGGAATATGGAAAGTACAAACATGCAAAGAATAAAATTAAAATCATCAATGGCTACTCTACCCCCTTCAATTTAACCATAAATAATGGTTTGATGCATTTACCTTATCATAGTTGTATGTACAGTTTTTCCCATTTTTATAAACTATGGCAATGGTATCCAAACTTAGTTGATCATCAGAATTACCTAAGCAGTAATATTTTTAGAATTCTGACATCTAGGCTTTGTCCCACACCTATTTAATTGGCTAACAATCTTTAATTCAAAGTTTCCAAGTGATCCCAATGATCAGCCAAGTTCGGGAACTATTTTTTCTGTGGAAGTGCATCTCTGAAAGAGAGGTGGTTGTATCAGGGGCATATGGAGCCCAGGCTCATTTGATAATGATGGCAGTTTCTCTTTATTTCTTTCATTCTTTTTCTGACTATAACTATTTCTACATCAACATTATAAAACAAAATGAAACAATACTCGAGCATAAGAATGCTGTCATTCACTCGTGACCACATAAAAAGTTTGCAAAGATTTTATTCAGAGAAAAACAGTATGAATAGGTTTTTTGGAACATGAGATGTGTAATGACAAGTATCAAAAACAAGATTTATTTCCTGTTAGCAGAAAAATGAAAATAAATTTAGCAAAAATATTTTTTGAAGTAGATACCCACTATACATAAAACTCCTACCATGCTTCTCGATGAGATTTCTTAAAAATCCAAAACAGCAAACACACAAGAATCCTTGTCAAGGTCTCCCAGGTAAAGGGAATTCTCCTTCTGGTACTGATTCAATTTTAAAGCCAGGGCTAATCAACTGCTATGTTCTCCACACCATCAGTGGCTTTTGAGCTTTTTTGGCTATGATTCCAGTTAATGTATTTTATATTATGATTTAGAAGCACACATATATATATACACACAAATATATATCACACACACACACACACAAGAAGTACTGGTATTTTTAATTGCTTCATCCTGGAACAAACTGCTCAATGCTAGCTTGTAAATGCAGAAGAAATGACAGAATTAGAAAATCACTATTTTGCAATCATAAAAAAAAGACACAAATATCAATGGATGCTAAAGCCACTAGGTGAAAAGGACAGTCATACAATCTCAAAGTATCACCTCACATATTAATTATAAAAGGGAAAATATATATTTACAATGGAGATATCTGGAAGATATCGCTGTACCCAAGTGATCAACCTTATAAACAGGACAACTGTCCTTTTGTGCCTTTCCCCAGTATGATTCAATGGCATGCATGCTGTATCATCTATGTAGTCCCAAGGATTTTCCTGAATTATGCTAGTTATTGCTGTATATACCAATGTGCAGAATAACGTTAACATCTTCTACATTGTAAATTATATGACCAATGACAAAATTGTCAATATATTTAGTGAATAAATTTTGGCCTATGAACAAAATACTGCATTTATTCTACACAGTATCTACTCCAAATGTATTATTTGTGATAAAAACCCTTATAAATATAAAAGCATACCTGGTATTTGGCTAATTCTGCTTGTAATACTTTCACTTTAGATCTTTCTTGTTCTAATGCAGCATGAAGTGAAGTCACCTGTAACCAAATATTCAATAAGAAAAAGACATTTTGGGGTTTTTGGCAAATACTCTAATTCTTAACATATTCACAATGATAGGTTTTTGACAACTAAATGGATGAGTAACAGAGGAGAAACTCCCCCCAAAATTTCCATTTGGTATTGTACACAGCTCTATATTAAAGATGGGGCAAAGTGTCCTGAGAGAAGAAGACAATAACGATGTGAAGGGGAGAAAAATCAAGCCCAGATACAGGGTAAGTTCTATCTGTCCTTTCTGTCTCTAAATTCATGGTTCATTAAAATACAACCTCATCATCCCCCATTCTTCAGTGGGAAGGACATACCTACCTCCTTTAGTGTTGTAAACAGAATCTTCATTCATGTGCTATTACATAATAATAAAGTACAATTTACACTTCCTTACAGTGCTGATGGGCTGTATTTGTTTAGTCAAGTTTAATAACTCAAGACTAAAGACAGCTTAAGAAAACCAGTCATGTATGCTCCACAGTTCCTTACCTGAATAGTGAGCTCATTCTTGATACTTTGTGATTCATCAACTTGAAGAAGTATTTCTGCCTTATCTTTCACTGACAAAAAAGGAAAAACAGCAGTATAGATTTCCCAGTCACTCAAATACTTTAACAATACTTCAGGGAACTAAGACATAGTAGTGCAATTAGAACAATGATTTCTTGTCATACTTAAAGAATGTACTTCTTGACCTTGCATAGCTCTTACTTTTCACTAGTAAATTCTTTTTTGTTTGTTTGTTTTACATTTTCACCAGTAAATTCTGATCATTATCACCACAGCATTTTTTTCTTAGAAATTTTACATTTTCTGTGGTGTTAAAATATTTATTGCTGGGCATGGTGGCTCACACCTATAATCCCAGCACTTTGGGAGGCCGAGGTGGGCAGATCACTTGCCAGGAGTTGGAGACCAACCTGGCCAACATGGCGAAACCCTGTCTCTACTAAAAAATATTATACAAAAATTAGCCAGGTGTGGTGGCACATGACTGTAATCCCAGCTACCTGGGAGGCTGAGGCCTAAGGATCCCTTGAACTGGGGATGTGGTGGTTGCTGTGAGCTGAGATGGTGCCACTGCACTCCAGCCTGGGCGACAGAGTGAGACTCTGTCAATAAAAAAAATATATATTTTTTTAACTGCACAAATATGGTGCAAGATTAATTTTTACATCTACTCTAAATAGGACAAGGATACAAGAAAAAAAATTCACACATGGAAAAAATTTTAAATACCTTGACTAATCTTAAAGCAAGATTTTAAAAACAATTACGGTAGCTCACGCCTGTAATCCTAGCACTTTGGGAGGCTGAGGCAGGCGGATCACCTGAGGTCAGGGGTTCGAAATCAGCCTGGCAAACATGGTGAAATCCTGTCTCTAGTAAAAATACAAAAATTAGCCGGGCATGGTGGTGCATTCCCGTAATCCCAGCTACTCAGGAGGCTGAGGCAGGAGAATCACTTGAACCCATGAGGCGGAGGTTGCAGTAAGCCAAGATCGTGCCACTGCACTCCAGCCTGCGTGACAGAGTGAGACTTGTCTCAAAATAAATAAAAACAACATAGAGTGCTTTTTTGTTGGATTGTTGGGGTGAGCATACTATAATGCCAACAAAATTATTATTCTCTGACTTTTCATACCAATAAAGCAATGTCAACTAAATGTAGCTCATATGATCACAAATGATCATATGACATGTGTGGTCTCTTAGAACTATTCATTATTTTTTAGGGGCTTTTCTCTCTTGGTGGAAGCAAGAGAGCTATAGTTTGGCCCTGTGTTTCCTAAGCTTCAGAAAGTTTCACATGGCTGAGAACTTCCTTAACTCATGGTAATGGCTAACATATGAAAAACTAACTCCTCACTTTGAAAACAAACTATGAGAGACTAGAGAGGTAAAATTGTAGTAAAATTAGCAAAGGAGGAAATGTTCAAATATATGAGTACTGATATCACCACAGCTCTGCCAATGTAAGATTGTAGTTCAAATTTATTTTCATAGTTTAATATGATAAGATGAAACAACCTATCAAGAATCAATTCAGTCTCTCAAGAATCAACTTGGGAACTTTTACAAATTATGCTTTCTACTCCTCCATCCCCAGGATTATAAACACTTGCTGAAAACTAGTGATTTTAAATAGTTATGTAACATTTCAATTACAGTCAGTCATCCTATAATGCTTGTTTTGAAAACACAAATTTGTTTCAATGAGGTTGATGTATTAGGTAACAACCTGAACATATCACAAATTTTCAATCCACTTAAGTACAATTTTATGAACAGAGAAAACCACACCCACATGTACTCCTTGAATATCTACCAGCTACCTTGGTTCACTGTGTGTTAGGAATCACACCCATCTGGCCTGACAACTTTCCATCCTTCCACCATGTAGCAGTAACACACAAGCTGTAACCCTTCTGAGACCTATTTCCCCACAAGCAAACTTTAGGTTTTCTTCAAGGTAAAGTGCTGTATTTATGTAATATTTATGTATTTAACCATTTTAGCATGTGTAAAACTGTGTTACTGTTTTTAGTTTCCCATGTTTTTTTCATGTGTCACTGACAACGTTTTTAAGTGTTGTGCTTCTAACCTCCCTTTTTCTCATAAGTATTGTGGGTTTTTTTGTTTTTTTGAGACGGGTGTATTAGTTCATTCTCACACTACTATAAACAACTGCCTGAGAATGGGTAATTTATAAAGAAAAGGTTTAATTGACTAATAGTTCCACATGGCTGGGGAGGCCTCAGGAAACTTATAACCATAGAAGAAGGCACCGCTTCACAGGGTGGCAGGAGAGAGAATAAGTGCTGAGTGAAGGCAGAAGCCTCTTATAACACCATCAGATCTTGTGAGAACTCACTATCATGAGAATAGCATGGGGGAAAGCACCCCCATGATTCAATTATCTCCATCTCGTCCCACTCTTGACATGCGAGGATTATTACAATTCAAGGCGAGATTTGGGTGGAGACACAGAGCCAAACCTTATCAACAGGGTCTCACTCTGTTGCCCAGGCTGGAGTGCAGCGGCATGATTACAGCAGTCTCAGCCTCCTGGGCTCATGCAATCCTCCCACCTTAGCCTCCTAAGTAGCTGGGACCACAGGCATGCACCACCATGCCAGGCTAATTTTTTTTCTTTCTTTTTTTTTTTTTTGAGACAAAGTTTTGCCATGTTGCCCAGGCTGGTCTCAAACTCTTGGGCTCAAGCGATCCACCTGTCTCAACCTCCCAAAGCTGGGATTACAGGTGTGAGCCACCGTGCCTGGCTATCTCGTGTGATTTTGCAGAGACTAGTGATTTTTAGGAACACATGCTGCATTATTACAGAATGACCATATTTACATTTACATTATAAGTGTTACAAGTATTTTCATGTAGTGATCCTATATAAAATTCTACCTGGATTACTTATACTATGGACACTGTTGTTACTGATAGAGATTCTTAATCTATTTTTGAGAGCAAGTTTTTATCAGTTAACTTTCTCAATTTCCACAGTATTTTATGAGGAAATATTATTTTATTTTTACATATTTAGAATTTATACATCCAATACACAATGATACTCTTCATTTCTGCACTTAGAAATACATCTTCTAAATAACTTACTTTTTTATTTTCATAATTTTGTTCTTTAAAAGACCCACATGGAGATCAATAACATGCACAGGTCTAAATTAATCTCAGGATGTAGACATTTAAATGTCCAAATAATGTCTTTCCCCATAATTTTTTTTTTTGAGACAAAGTCTCACTCTGTCAGCCAGGATGGAGTGCAGTGGCATGATCTTGGCTTACTGCAACCTCTGCCTCCTGTGTTCAAGTGATTCTTGTGCCTCAGCCTCCCAAGTAGCTGGGATTATAGGCACGCACCACCACACCTGGCTAATTTTTGTATTTTTAGTAGAAACAGGGTTTCACCATGTTGGCCAGGGTAGTTTCAAACTCCTAACCTCAGATGAGGAACACCTCTGCCTCCTAAAGTGCTGAGATTACAGGCATAAGCCACTGCGCCTGGCCTCCCCCTATAATTCTTTAACTTCTATTTGTATAATAATTAAGTTATAAAAAACATAAGGTTGAATCTCCTTCAAGAGTATTCATGTTCTGTTCAACTGGACATGATTTCTGATTTTTACTCATTGTTTGACAACTATTTTGTAATACAGTTTAAATTTTGTTTGGACAGTTCTATTCCAAGTATAGTCATCCCTTGGTAAACAATTGCTTTCAAGACCTCCCAAGGATACCAAAATCTAAAGATGCTCAAGTCCCTGATATAAAATGGTATATATCTGCATAAAACCTATGAATAGCCTCCCATATCCTTTGAATCATCTCCAGATTACCGGCCGGGTGCGGTGGCTCACGCCTGTAATCCCAGCACTTTGGAAGGCCAAGGCAGGTGGATCACGAGTTCAGGAGATCAAGACCATCCTGGCCAACATGGTGAAACCCCATCTCTACTAAAAATACAAAAAAATTAGCCGGGTGTGGTGGTGGGCTCCTGTAGTCCCAGCTACTCTGGAGGCTGAGGCAGGAGAAGGGCGTGAACCCGGGAAGCGGAGCTTGCAGTGAGCTGAGATCGCGCCACTGTGCTCCAGTCTGGGCGACAGAGCGAGACTCCATCTCAAAACAATAAATAAATAAAAATAAAACAAATCATCTCTAGATTACCTATAATACCTAATATGGCATAAATGCTATGTAAATAGCTGTTACACTGTATTGTTTAGGGAGTAATGTCAAGAAAAAAGTCTGCACATGTACAATTTCAAAAAATATATTTTTGATCCACAACTGACTGATCCACAGATAGGGAACCCACGGATATGGAGGGCTGACTGTACCTTCACAGCTGAAAACAATTTTTGGTATTTTTTCATTTTTCAAGGTGAATTTCACAATTTCTTAAGAGCTACACAATATTCACAGGAGCTATCTTTGGAGTTTCATTAGCATTTATTAATAGGAAAATTGTTGATTACATTTCATTTTGTCTATTCAGAGAAAGATTTTCTCCTTTATGTCTTAATCTCTGTTTCTTTTATGGTTTATAATTTCCTTTGCCTAAGTCTCATATTTAAAAATTAACATATATTTCCTTTTTTATTATGAATGGAAAATTTTCATAAAACTTTCAGGATAAATGTCACTAGGTATATGCATAGTGAGAAATGCAACTGATTTGGTGGGCTTTTGTATATCAGCTTCACTAGTCTTATAATCTGTAATCATTTTTTGGATTGATTTCCTTGGCTTCCTGCCGGTAACCTCTTGTCAAAAGTTTACAGAGTAGCAGCAAAAGTATGAAGAGCAGTGGCGAGGGGAGAAGGAAAGAAGAAAACAAAAAAGAAAACCTAAAGTGATGACAGGCTGCCTCCTTCAAGAGCTGAAAAGCAGAATCCTAAGCAAATGTTAGGCTTGTTTTCCCTCTAAATATAGTTCAGTAAGCTATAAGAATTGAATTTTAAGAGTTTCTTTTACCCGAATAGTTATAAACTGGTATAAAAGTAAGGTGCTGTAAGAGTGATCTAATAATAACTTTATGAGCAGCTATCCAGCTTCTTTTTTTTTTTTCTTTTTAGACAGTCTCGCTCTGCTCCCCAGGCTGCAAGTACAGCAGTGCAATCTCGACTCACTGCAACCTCTGCCTCCCGGGTTCACAATTCTCGTGCCTCAGTTTCCCAAGTAGCTGGGATTATAGATGTGCACCACCACATCTGGCTACTTTTTGTATTTTTAGTAGAGATGGGGGTTCACCATGTTGGCCAGTCTGGTCTCAAACTCTTGGCCTCAAGTGATCTGCCCACCTTGGCCTCCCAAAGTGCTAGGATTACAGATGAGCCACCATTCCTGGCCAACTCTCTATCTTGTATCATTCTGTGAAGCCTTTCTACTTTGTTGAGTCCCTTTTTCAATTTTTTTTATTGGCACATAATAATCATATATATTTATGGGGTGCATGTGATATTTTGATACAGGTATACAAAGTGTACTGATCAAATAGGTATTTAAGATATCCAGTAATTCAAACATTTATCATTTCTTTGTGTTGGGGGCACTTCAAATCTTCTAGGCATTTTGAAATATACAAATTATTAACTATAGTAACCCTATTGTGCTACCAAACACTTTTGTTCAGTTGGTAAATCACACATTTGAAAAAGTACCTTCAGATATTATTTAAGATAAACTTTTAATTACAAAAACATAAAATCCACTTACTTTCACCTTCCTGAAGCATTTTCAATAATTGTGCATTTCTTGCCTTTACTTCCTTATACTTTGCCTAATAGTCAAAGAAAAAAGATTTAGTTTTTTTTTTTAAGTAAGTGATATAATAATTACTTACTGTCAACTTACAGAGCTCTGAATTCTAGGCTTGCTCAAAGATATAATTATTTTTGAAACAAACAGGATGGAGGAAAATGTATTCGGAACTATCTACAACTTAAATTAAATCCCTGGCACAATTAAATCCCTGGCACAATAATATATATCAATATTATATGTGATTGAAAATTAAAGAAGAGAAGGATAAAAGTGGAGAAAACTCAATTTTCCTAAAGAATCTTCTTTTCTTCCTCAGATAAAACCCTTATACAATTCAAAATAATTTAAATGAAAACCAAAAGGAAAATGAGCCACAGTTCTAAAGCAGTACTGTCCGGCAATACACTAGGACTTTCTACATCTGCTCTGTATTTGCCGCTGTCCAATACGCGACTACTGAAAGAACACTAGCAATGTGGCTGGTGTGACTGAGAAAAATTAATTTTTAAACTTTAAATTTAAAATGCAATAGACTTGTAGTGGATACTGAATTTTATAGGGCAGTTCTATACCTTCTCAGTTGAGGATTCACTAATCATTTGTTACTTCACTGACTAAATAATCACTGTTACAATTTTTGGTTGACATGAATTAGTACTTTATCCAAATATCTTTCAACTCTTTTTCAATTTCTTTTTCCAGATGGCTTCTTCTCACATTACATGATGATACAAGTATACATTTATGAACAAGAAGGATTGTGTTCCCACATTCGCATCCATATTTTAGGCAATTTTACCCCATGCTACCCTTATTCAACACATCTTATAACACTCTCTGTATCACTTATTTACTTTTTTTTTTTTTTTTTTGAGATGGAGTCTTGCTTTGCCGCCCACGATGGAGTGCAATAGCGCTATCTCGGCTCACTGCAACCTTCGCCTCCTGGGTTCAAGTGATTTTCCTGCCTCAGCCTCCCTAGCAGCTGGTACTACAGGTATGCACCACCATGTCTGGCTGATTTTTGTATTTTTAGTAGAGATGGGGTTTCACCATGTAGGCCAGGCTGGTCTTGAACTCCTGGCCTCAAGTGATCCACCCACCTTGGTCTCCCAAAGTGCTGGGATTACAGGCATGAGGCCACTGCGCCCAGGCCTGAATCATTTATAAAGATTTAATACATTAATACATTAGAGAAAACAATGCATTTAACATATATAGAAAAACAAAAACCTAAAGAAAACATTAATATAAGAAAAATCATTTTTTCCTCTCAACATATACATAGATATGTATAGTAGTTACCAGATTCAAATCTTTGTTAAAAAACAAATTAAAAAGTGTTTTAAGTCCAATAAAGATGGCTTTTACTAAATATTACTCTGTCCATTAAATCGCTGATAAGTAAATAATGTTTACTGAATAATACTACAGTCAATACAATAAAACAAAGTAAGCGCTGTACTGAATATAAAGGTAGGAGGACTGCTGAGAAGCTCAGAAATGAACAAGGGAGGCCAGTCAAATGGAAACATAAAAATATAACGGGGGAAAACACATATACTCAACTACAACTATATTCGCTATGAATATAGAAATAGTCATTGTGAATATGAAACTACACTCACTACGAAATTCCCAGCCTCAGGGCTTCAACCTATGTTAGTATTTCACCAAACTATCTCTGGCTCAAGCCTTTGTTCAAGGTCCAGATCAGTCTTCATGGAGGTACCTCTTACTCAAGGTTTAGGGTCTAAAATATCTCACAAAGCAAAAATTGCAAATCAGCATGATTACCTGTGACAATTGTTTGCACTGCTTAAAAACTGCATATATAAAAATATAAATGTATAAAATACCACTAACATGCAGCTTATAAGAAAGAGCACATATGAAATACATAACATTTTTGCTAGTATATTTAATTTCATGACAGAAAGCATACAAAGATGATAAAATTAAATACACATGTATTGTTGCTGCGCTGTGTCTAAAAAAAGTAGCCATTTAAAACGCAACATGTCCAAAATGAAATCTATTAGTTCCCATTCCCCAAACCAGTTAAAGATGTGCTCCTCCTCTTACACTCTATACTTATCCATTGTTTTAGCAGGCTGTCTTCACTCCAAGCCTCAGCAACATGCATTATCATCCCAAGTATCTTCCCAATACCATCCCACAGCAGCTGCGTCATTTTACATTCCCACCAGCAGTGAACAGGTTCCAATTTCTTGACATCCTTGCCAGCACTTGTTATGTATACATTTTATTTTAAACCACAAATCTTAACTCCTCCCTTAGGCTTTTTAAAAAATCGATTTTTAAATCTATTATTCATCTCAAGTATTCTTTTTTGACTAATATTAACTCACATAAAAATTACTTATTCAATGCCTGTAACGTGCCAGGTACCTAATAATCATCATGTCACTTCCCTTCTAAAGATCTTTAATGCTATTTTATTTTATTTTATTTTATTTTATTTTATTTTATTGAGATGGAGTCTTGCTCTGTCACCCAGGCTGCAGTGCATGGCGTTATCTTAGCTCACTGCAACCTCCGCCTTCCAGGTTCAAGCAATTCTCCTGCCTCAGCCTTCCAAGTAGCTGGGACTACAGGTGCGCGCCACCACGTCCGGCTAATGTTTTGCATTTTTAGTAGAGACGAGGTTTCACCGTGTTAACCAGGATGGTCTCGATCTCCTGACCTCGTGATCTGCCCGCCCCGGCCTCCCAAAGTGCTGGAATTACAGGTGTGAGCCACCGTGCTCGGCCTAATAACCTCTCTAAAATCCAAATGCCTTCGAATTCTGACCCCAACTCATACCTGCAATCTCAACTTCTAGTTTCCCATTTCTCTGAATGTCAGCCACAATGTACTTTCCATCATATTCCCATACTTTTGTACACACAATTCTCTCTACCTGGAAAAATCATCTTTTCTATGAGATCCTTACCAATTTTTGATAGCAGCAACTCATTCACTCCTCTGTCTGTTCTTCTGGAGCACTCTGTCATATCCTACACTGTACTGCAACTATTTACATGTTTATCTTCCCCCATTAATCTATAAGCTTCTTGTTAACTCATCTTTGTATTCCCTGTGCCTAGTACAACAAAAACGAAGAGAAATGTAAATGAAAAGCTAAGGTAAATGAGTGGGTGCAGTCAAAAAAAGTTTTAGTAGGGATGATTCTTAAAGGCATGAGTAGAAGGAGGAGGTAAATGTAAGAACCATCAGGGCTGGAACTTGATTTATTTTTTTTCACTACCACATACACAGGGTGCAAAAAGTATCTGGCACATTATAGGCACTCAATAAATAATTGTTGAGTGAATTCATATTAGTCAAAAAAGAATGATACTTGATATGAATAACAGATTTAAAAAAATTGTTTTTTTAAAAAAAACCTAAGGAGAGAGGTAAGATTTGTAGTTAAAAATACATTGTATACATCACAAGTGCTGGAAAGGATGTGGAGAAACTGGAACCCTCGTTCACTCCTGGTGGGAAGGTAAAATGACGCGGGTGCCATGGAAAAGTCTGGCAGTTCCTCGAAAAGTTAAATGTGGAATTATATAGTCCAGCAATTCCACTCTTAGGTGTGTACATACCCAAAAGAACTGAAAGCAAGGACTCAGATACTTATGCACCAGTAAACAAAATATATACACACAATGAAAAATTATTCAGCTATAATAAGGGATGAAATTCTGACACATGCTACAACGTGGATGAACCTTAAAAACATTATGCTAGGCCAGGTACGGTGGCTCACACCTGTAATCCCAACACCTTGAGAGGCCGAGGCGAGCGGATCACGAGGTCAGGAGTTTGAGACCAGCCTGGTCAACATAGTGAAACCCCGTCTCTACTGAAAATGCAAAAATTAGCCAGGCATGGTGGTGCATGTCTGTAGTCCCAGCTACTCGGGAGGCTGAGGCAGGAGAATTGCTTGAACCTGGGAGGCGGAGGTTGTGGTGAGCCAAGATTGTGCCACTGCACTCCAGCCTGGGCAGCAGAGCAAGACTGTCTCACAAAACAAACAAACAAACACACACATTATGCTAAGTGAATATGCCACACATAAGAGGATAAACACTGTATGATTCCACTTACATGAGGTACCTAGAATGGGCAAATTCATAGAAATTAGAGGTTACCGGGGTGTGGAAAATGAGAATGGGGAGTTCTCTGTGGGTAAGAGTTTCTGCCTGGGATGATGAAAAAGTTCTGGAAATAGACAGTGGTGATGATTAACAATGCTGTGTAAAGATACTTAATGCCCCACTGAATTATACAGTTTAAATGGTTATATGTATTTTACAACAACAAAAATACATTTTATACTATGTGTAAACTATACCACAATAAAGTTGATTTTTAAAAAACAAAATACGACCAGGCATGGTGGCTCATGCCTGTAATCCCAGCACTTTAGGAAGCTGGAGTGGGCGGATCTCTTGAGGCCAGGAGTTCGTGGATAGACTGGCCAACACGGTGAAACCCTGTCTCTACTAAAAACACAAAAATTAGCCAGGTATGGCGGCTCATGCCTATAATCCTAGCTACTCAGGAGCCTGAGGCAGGAGAATCGCTTGAACCAAGGCAGAGGTTGTACTGAGCTGAGATCATGCCATTGCACTCCAGCCTGGGCAACAGAATGAGACTCAAAAAACAACAACAACAACAACAATAAATAAATAAATAATCAATCATTCAGATTTTAAACCATTAATCAAAGAGTTTAAGAACATAAAAAATAGAATGACTATTCCCATGAATTGCATATTAAACATATTTACATATAAGAAAAACAAAATGTGAAAATGTATAGAATTATTTTTTTTAGCAACAGTAAATGGACACAAACCTCCCACTGAGTGATTACATTTTTCAGCTTCTGGATTTCAGCATCTTTCCTTTCTAGCTCTAACTTTAGTCTTTCAATTCTTCCATCTTTCAGAACCACTTCCTGAAAAGAGAGAAACAACATTTTAGGACTTTGATTATTCTGCTAATCCTGGTTTATAATATCCTTTGTGAAAAGTTTAAGAGGAAAAATTCTGACCTTAATTTTCTGAGGCCATCTTATGCTGTTGACTACATTTCCATTTTCACTCAATTATATAATCTTAATACATACAATGCAAGCAAGGAAGTATTTATAATTAACCCAAACATACTGACAAACAATATCAGGGCTTTCAAAGGATATTTCCATCCTGGAACAAACATATTAAAAAGTGCTCTGTGACAAGTTGTTGTTATTAGTCTATCTTAAAAATTCAAAAATTCAAAAAAATGACTAAAAATACAAAATAAATAAAAAATATAAAAACTAAAATAAATAGCTTTTCTCTGTATTAGCAATTAACAGGTAGAAGACATAACTAGAAAAATAATTTCCTCACAACAGCAAGAAAACCTAACCAGAAGAATAACACTAAGAAGTGATTAGGACCAACACTAAGAAAATTATAAAATCTTGAAAATGACACAAAGTATGGTTTGTAAATAGGAAGGCTACAGGTTACTTTGTAAGTTCAATTAACATTTGAATAGAAATTCCAATAGGATGTTGTTCTTTGGAACTTATAAAGATAGTAAAGACTTCATCTGGGAGAATTCAGGATGGAAGCAATACAAAAAGTTAATCTGATGAAGAAAGATTTGCCTATCAATTATATAAGGCAAAATAAATAAAATCATGGCACCTAGGTTGACAGAACAATGTACCAGAAAACAAAGTCCAGAAAGAGACTTGAGATATAAGAATTTATTGTAAGGATGATACTTTTAAAAAGTGAGAAAATGCTGAATTACAGAATAATGGTAGGTTATAGGACAAATGGCTAACTGGGAAAAATCAGGTTAAATCGCTGTCATCTTGCACCATATACCAAAATAAACAAATTTAGTGTAAAAAAAAATCACCCCAAAGTCATATTTTTGATGAGAATATAAATGGTTCTGTTTATCTAAGGAGTAATGTGGCAACATCAACGTAGTACTCTACAAATACTCACTGAGCATCTAACTTCTAGGAGCTGGGTACACCATGGTGAACCGAACCGAAAAGATTCTGTGCTTCTTTTCTAGATTAGTAAAGCTCTTTAAAGTGGTGACACTTAAATTGAACCTTGTGTGATGGGTAGGAATTGGCTAAGTAAAAAGGGGAAGTGAGAGCTTTCCAGGTAGAAAGAACAGTATGTTTAAAGGCCTTGCAGGAAGGAAGGGCCTGGAGAATTTGAAGAAAAAAATAAGCCAGTATGGTAAGATAGTGAGGGGGAAGATGGTCCAAGATGACTTTGGAAAAGCCAGTAGAGACCTGATCCTGGAGGACCTTGTAAGCCATAAGAACAGTCTGCACATTATTCTGAATAAAACAGAAAGCAGTGAAGGACTGCTAGGTTAGATTTGATTGTGTGAGACTTATGTTTGTAAAGGATCCCTTTTCATGCTGTGTGGAAATGAAATGGAGTGAGGTAAGACAGGTAGAAAGATCCTTTAATAGCTACTATAACCCCAGGTCAAATAAGATTATACTTTGGATTAGGGTGAAAGCAGTATAAATACAGAGAAGTATATTTGAGAAATAATTTGGAGGTAGCATTTGATGAAAGGTTGAAAGAATGTGGCAGGTGAGGAAGAAGATGGACACTACAATCTAAGTTTCTAGTTTAAGTAATGAGGTGAGTAGGTCAAAATTAGAAATATACTACTATTAAGTTCCAGAATCTCACTTTTAGGAATTTATCTCCAAAAGATAAATGAGGTAGCGAAGTATCTATGAAAAGTGTTCATTGTAGATTTATCACAACACAAAACTGGACATCAATTTAAATGTCAAATAATAGAATATAGGTTAAATATATAGTAAATTCAAAAACTGAAAACTAAGTCACTAAAAATGCTGATATAGAGCTATAAAATAATATCTGCATGATTCCAAAATTGTAGTGTGTGCAAAGAAAAAATTCTGGAAGAACATACACCAAAACTTTAAATTATAACTGTGTGAACATGGGATTATGATTTTACTTTATTTTTAAAAATTTCCTTTTATCAAAATTATTTTATACTGAGTAAATAATCATGGAATAATACTGTTTTACTTTTGAATAAAAATAAACCATTATGTATTTTTAGAAATCTTGATGAATATGATTATCTTTGAATAAGAAGCCCTTCTGAAATTGACATAAAAAAAGAGGAAAAATGGAAAAGATTCATAGATGTGATTTGATGAAAGATCTCAGAAAAAAATAAAACACTGTAACAAAATAAAAAGGTAAAGGAAAAACAGAAAATGCCACCAATATGATAGACATATGACCAACAAACATGAAAAAAAGTACAATCTCGCTAGTAAGCAAAGCCAGGTTTTATCAAACTAGTACTTTTTTTTTTCCTTCTTCTTGAGACAAAGTTCTCGATCTTATCTCCCAGGGTAGAGTACAGTGGTGTGATCTCAGCTCACTGCAACCTCGCCTCCCAGGTTCAAGCAATTCTCCTGCCTCAGTCTCCCAAGTAGCTGGGATTACAGGTGCCTGCCACCACTCCTGGCTAATTTTTGTATTTATAGTAGAGACAGGGTTTCACCATGTTGGCCAGGCTGGTCTTGAACTCCTGATCTCAGGCGATCCACCTGCCTCGGCCTCCCAAAGTGCTGGGATTACAGGCGTGACCCACCGCACCAGGCCAAACTGGTACATTAAAAAAATTTTTTTTCTTAGTATAAGTAATTGGAGGCAATTTATCTATAAACTGAATTATTCCATGTATAAGAATTAATGTCCCAGGCACAGTGGCTCACGCCTGTAATCTCAGCACTTTGGGAGGCAGAGGTGAGCAGATCACCTGAGGTCGGGAGTTCGAGACCAGCGTGGCCAACATGGTGACCCTCTACTAAAAATACAGAAACTAGCTGGGAGTGGTGGCACATGCCTGTAATCCCAGCTACTCGAGAGGCTGAGGCACAGGGATGGCTTGAACCTGAAGGGCAAAAGTTGCAGTGCGCTGAGATTTCGCCACTGCACTCCACCCTGGGTGACAGAGTGAGACTCCATCTCAAAAAAAAAAAATTAAAAAAAAAAAAATCAATGTCCTGAAATGCTCACCATTTGCGTTTAACTGAAAAAGTGGTCCATCTAACAGTTTCTGCATTGATGAGGGAAAAAGTATATATCCATAGAAAAGTAAGACCACACCAAAATATCAGTACCCTAGCTGTTTTCTCTAGGTGAATGAGATTAGGGTCATTTTTCTCCCACTACAACTGAAAATTGGGGATGATAATGATATCTACCAACTTCATAGTTAGTTGTTAATAATCAAATGAGATCATACATTTTAAGTACTTAACACAGTGCCTGGCATATACATAGCAAACCCTCAAATATTTATTTTTGCCATTATCATTTCTTCATTTTACTTGTCGGTAGTTCCCAAAATTTCTACAAGAGATACTACTTTTTAAAGCAAAGTCGTATTGTTTTAATGTATACTCATTTTTAATGAAGTCCTACATTTCAATAAAAACCTTTTAAAAAGTATCTTCTAAGTAAAAAATATTATACTAAAATGAGGATGAAAAGATGTACAAGATAAAGCCTATGCCTACAAGGGATCTGTAATCTATTAAAAATGACAGGGAAAATGTGTGATGTGAAATGTGCCATAAGAAAAACAAAATGCTATGGGGTATAGAAAAAGGAAAATTATATCCAGGTTTTCTGTGTCTCGGGTTTGGGGTTCGGCTGAGGCAGTGAGAGAGAGCTTCTGGGAGGAGATGGCATGTGAAATGAATGAAATGAACCTTGAATAAAGCTGGGACGCACCCAGCATTCTGTGACAGGAGTGGTCTGCTCCAGCTAGAAGAAAAATTGGAAGAGTACAAACAGCTAAAGATAATTAAGGATATCCTGTATAAGAAGGTTTTCAAACTTATTTGACAGTGCCCTATGATAGGAATGTTTTACATAGACACACAGACACATGCACACATAGAAACAACTTTCACAAAATATAAATAGGTGTCACATACTCTGACATTTTCTCCTTTCCCATTTTTTGGTAGCAACCTACTAAACTGATTTTAGGACCTACTGAATGGGTTGGGAAACTCAGTTTGAAAAGCATAGCGGCCGGGCGCAGTGGCTCAAGCCTGTAATCCCAGCACTTTGGGAGGCCGAGACGGGCGGATCACGAGGTCAGGAGTTTGAGACCATCCTGGCTAACACGGTGAAACCCCGTCTCTACTAAAAAATACAAAAAAAAAACTAGCCGGGCGAGGTGGCGGGCGCCTGTAGTCCTGGCTACTCGGGAGGCTGAGGCAGGAGAATGGCGTAAAAACCCGGGAGGCAGAGCTTGCAGTGAGCTGAGATCCGGCCACTGCACTCCAGCCTGGGCGACACAGCGAGACTCCGTCTCAAAAAAAAAAAAAAAAAAAAAGAAAAGAAAAGCATAGCCTAAGGACTTTAGGTGTCAGGTCAAGGACACTGTACTTAATTCAACAGACACTGAAGTTTAAGGGCACAGCATGGCATGATGGAAGTAATGATTTATAAAAAGGCATTTGTTAGCAGGGTGTAACACATTATCTGGCATTAAAGGCAAGAAGCATGAAGATTGGTTAGATTACTGAAATAATGCCAGTAAGAGATAATGAGAGGCTAAATTAGAGAATGTTGGTAAGAATGGAAACAAAGACAGATCTGAAAAACATTTCAAAGATTTAAAACTCTAAAAATCTTGAAAAACAGAAAAGTGAAAACAACAACAACAACAACAACAACAAACACACACTGTAGAATCTGGATACCTAGGTAAAATGAGGAAACCAAAAACTGAAATGACAGAAGTCAAGCCAAATGCTCGGTGTGGAGAGGAAGATGATGAGCCCGGGTTTGAACACAGTGAGAGTAAGGTATGCATCAAACAACAGGATGGAATATGCCACAAAGATAATTA